CCGCCGCCGCTCCAAGTAAGAGCGCGTTCGACGATCTGAATGATAGCATTCGTATGGCACTGGGCGGGTCTCCGTCAAGACCGGCACCTATATCTCAACAACTACCAACCGCCGCGCAACAAGCACAGCAACCTCTGCAGCAGGGTTTTGGCATGTTCGATATGGCTGCAAATATGGCTGCCACCGGGCAACCGGTCATGCCTGGAGGGCCGATGGTCGGCTACGGTATCCCAACCCAAGTCCCGGCGGGGTACGGTTCTCCGGCTAAGCAGCCGACCTCAGGTGACGGGAATGTATAGATGACTATCATCAGTTTGCATGTCAGAGGAATCAGTGATGCTTTCCAGTGGCCCTCATGAGCCTATGTACTCTTGTGTACCTTGTGATTAACTCTTTCACGCCAGATGTTACATATAAGCAATGTTGTACTTTAAAATGAAGACTACAGAAAAGCATGATAAGGTGAAATTCTATTTTTATAATATTTGTACAATTTTTTGTGGAATCTATATTTCATTATCAAGAATTTTCTATCAATATTGAATTTTACTAATTTTATGTACACTACCATCCACAAATAGTTGAACACCTGGCTTAAGTTGATCAAAAATTAATAATAATAATAAAATAATACCTTTGGAAGAATGATAGGTATAACGGGGTTGTGATAAGTGCATCTATTTTCATTAAAACTGGTTCTAATTTTAATATGGTACATCTTCCTTATAAAGACAAAAAAGAATATTTTCTTAACGATTGACCAAAGAGATCTTTGCTTCTATAGCTTCCAAACATTTGGTTGTGAAAGGATTAATGTTTGCGATATTTTAGTGTAAAGAAGGGGATCTAGTAATTTAGAGATAATATAAAGAAGTGAACCAATCTTGCATTCTTAATGTTTTAGATTTATATAATGATATAATAATTCTGGAATAATATAGAGAGGGAAACCAAATTTGTAATACCAGTTTCAAATATGTCACAAAAGTACAAGCTCAGAGATATACAGCATCAGTGATTTGTGTATCTGTTCTTGGTTTGTGAAGTAGATTTTCACTGAGTTGTTCATAAAAGTTGATTATTTGATGCGTTTGTAATGCTTGGATGTATACCTGCTGGTACTGGCATGATGTCTTTGGAAAATTTTTACAATTTATTTTTTTGGAGAATGTAGAGGTATATTGTAAGTACTACCTGAATTTACTATTTAATTACCAATGCGTAATATATCCAATAGATTGTGTATATATTTGAAATATTCCTTTTCCTTTATATTTCTCTCCTACTATTTTTAATTTTTTGCAGTTGGATATTAATAAGTCGATATTTCAAATTAAACTGCAAGGAATTAAATGACTATATATTGTAGATTTATTCCATATAATACAATGATAAATGAATGACCTTTAGTCAAGATAATGATACACGTATTCGCACTGTATACTCTGTTAAAGTAAAAAGCATGGCTTTTCCAGAGTTATGTACTTGCAAATGTTAGAAACTTCATATATAAAATTATAAGGGATATATTCTTTTATTTTATTATAATTTATCCCAGTTAATTGCAAGTAGTTCAATTTTACCATCTTGTTTATCGAAACCCATGCTTTTTTATGTTCAAAAGTTTGATCCTTCTTTGTGTATCATTTAATGTGCAATAAGAACATGTAACCTTGGGTTATGCTTTATGGGGCTTTGGCTGATGTAGATGTTGCTTAGGTTTTGACAGTTTGGGCATGATGCTGATGCCTACCACTGTAGCTGGAGATAATAATATTTCAGCAGCAGGACAACAGCAGAATGCAACATCCACTGGCAAAGTCCTGACTGGAGATTTGGATAGCAGCCTTGCTAGTCTTGCTCAAAATCTGACAATCAACAAAAGTGCGCAGCAGCAAGTCAAGTAAGGTGTACAAAATTTTTTGAAAGCTTGGTCTTGAAGACAGGAAAGTAGTATTTTTGTTTCTTTTAGGGGTATGCAATGGAATTCCCCCAAAAACGCTGCTAAAACTGGTGGCCCAGCTGGTGGATGGACACCACAGCCTATGGCAGCTACGACTGGTGCTGGGTATCGCCCAATGGTGAGTTCAACGTGGTGACCAGTTCTTCAGTGCTATATCATTATCAGCACACTGTTGTTGGACGTGATATCTTTGTTGTCAGGGTATCACGACCCCTACTATTCTTATATTACATGTCAGATATCTTTATCTATTCTCGCCATTTGTTACTGAATCACTATCAGCATGCTGTTTTTTATCGTTATAGGATTATTATTTATTGTAAATAATTATCCTGTAACCATGTCTAATAAATTATCTTCGTCTTCGGACTTGCGACACGATCTTGTTTAATTCGTTTTATATTTCTAAGCATAAATGTAATCGATAAGCGAGTTTAATATCAGGAAAACACTTGCGAGTAATTTACAACGTTTATATGACCGTAGATTATCGTAGCACGCTTGCTTTATCGCTCACTAAGCTTTCACATAATCAATGATTACGATAGATCCTTGTCCTTTTTAATACTCTGAAACACTTAGCTCGGTTATCGTGTTGCACGTTTGGATGCACTGTGCATTATTTTATATTCAAGTATCACTGTAACACTAAACACAATTATTGAAAGTTCACAAGATAAACATCTTAAATATAAAGTACACTAGACTTCCTTTGAATTAAAATAGATTAGAATTGTAAAAAATGTTGACCACCTTAGTACAGGGTAAAGAGGAAATGAATATTAGAATATAGAAAACATATTCGTCGATCCATACACTTAGGTATACAATGCATGCATGGCATATGGCATGCTACCTGCTGTTACAGGGACAAGGAATGACGCAACTCCCTTCAACTGCTATGGGCTTCCCTCCCCACACTGCACCATTGGTAAGTTCTAGTTTCCATGGAATTAAATATGGTAAAAAAAAAAGAAGTGAACTTATCGCTTGATCAAAGGTTTGACTTCACATTGCTGTACATAACAAGTATTGTTACTAATTTATTCCCTGAAAAAAAGTTATGCCATTAGATGATTATTGAATGTTTAAATATGACAAAGTTTTTCTTTAGTAACTGATTGTAGAGGAATAGTTCATAGAATTTTGTAACCATTGTTCTTATAAATGTATATTATATCCTTAATATTTCCCTGCTTTGCATTTATTTATATGTGTGATGCACCTGAGTGTTTGATTTAAACTACTTTCTCTAGTAGAGTCGTAGGTTTTTCATAAGTATGTTGTTTGATTATTGCATATGAAATACCCTATTGTATAATAAACTCAATGCTACCTTCATAAATATCTATTGTACACTAGACTCAGATTTGTAAAAATGTAAATACACTACTTTTGCTGTTCCATATATCCATACATGTGTAAAGTGACACAAAACCTACAATGCAAACTAAAACAAACCAAATACAAAATACTAAAACACAATGAGCTCTATATATATTGATCTGATTGAATATAAATGGTCAAATGTTGAAAGCATTGTTATCGAAGGGAAAACAATTACTGGAGATAGTTGGACTTGGAGTAGTAAGAATTCCAGAAGTACAGATACAGTGTATCTGACCAGTCGGCTTTCTGGTGTCCCTAGGGAATGCAAGGTGTGCCAATGGGCATGCAGGGTATGCAGGGCATGAGGCCAATGATGAGCACAATGCCTGGTGGTCCTGGTGGCATGATGGTCGCAGGAGGAACTGCATCAATGATGATGCCCAGCACAAATCCCATGATGAGTGCTAATCTTCAGCAGCAACCGCAGCCACAGCAGCAGCAACAACAATCCCAGGCTGTTCAACAGCCGCAAAATAATCAAGTCCAACTTGATCCATTTGGTGCCCTGTGAAGAGATTAGGTATCTATTTGTTATGCCCTTGTCATGAAGAGAAATGTCAGTGACAAAACTGTGAATTGTGATTGGAATTAAATAGACATTCTGGAAATTAAAAGGTCTCCTGATTTTTTACGGTGATACATAACAAATTTTATCCACTAATTCACCTAATTGAATTTTTGGATTTTAATCAATTAGTTTGTAAATAAAATAGAAAAATAAGCCAAATGTATAGACTTGGTGATTTTATTCTAGAGAGTTTTTGTTAAGAAGGAACAAAGCTATGCATATCAGAGCATATTGTAATGAATTGTATCTGTATATGTTTGTGATTAATATATAATATAGCATGATTATGCGAATCTGTCCAAAGGCAGCTTTGTTTGTAAATGATTAACAGCTGTTGAACAGATTTCATCTTACACAAGATACTTGTATAACGATGCACAGTTCCATCTGAAATACATACATAATTCCTATCAGGCTCATTTACTAATGGCACCGGTTTCTAGTTAACATTGTCTATCTGCACTCAGTCAACGATTCAATAACTTTACTCATAAAATGTAAAAATAAAGACAGCACATCAAAGGATTGCAATTTGATTATTAAACAGATACAGCATTTAGTAGCTTTTGGATAAGTGAAATGGTAATCAGTTAAGAAGCTATGAGGTAGCTTTTAATAGATACAAAAAGATATTGTATTATATAATATCATTTTTTATCAAACTTTATAATATTTATAAAAGACTAACTTAAGAAAACATGATCACATATCCAAGAATTACCATGTTTAATATTAGTAATGAGTTTGAATGTAACCTTCATATGACTAAAAAATGATTTTTTCTTGCAGGAATTCTGATTGGAATCGAGCAAACGAAGCACCAACTTTGTAAATACCGTGTAATATGCCTAGGAAATGTGCCCTGCTTGCTCTTGTTATTCTATGTCATCCGTAACGAATCGGCCCGTCCTCACGAAGAAAAAAGGAGAAGAAAAACAATATTGAAGTTTATCATTGGATCGTTCTCCGGGAAACGCGACGGCGCCGACGGATTCTCATTAATATACATATTATATATATATATTTCTACTGCTGATTGAGTATAATCGTATATACGGATTTGCTCAGTTTACGGCGGTTGCCTTACAGAGATACGCGTAGTCTCAGTGTATACATACATATATATACATAGTCTTGCGGGACGACTAAAAGAAACAAAAGATAAAAAAACGAAAAAAAAAAAAAAAAAAATAGAGAGCTTAGAGACAGAGTTATGAAAAATGAAACATGAAAAATGAAAAAAAAAAAAAAAAAGATTGTACGAGCCGTATTACGTTTAGAATTCCATGAGGTACGTGGGTGCAACTATTCCGTATGAGTTGACTGTGATAGTATTGCATCGACATTGTAGTGTTTTCCAGTGATCGAAGGGAGAGCTGGAAGAAAATGAGGGAGAGCCTGAGAGAGCGTGTACATGTATATTTGAGAGCAAGAATGAATGGAAGATTGAACGAAGAGATGGAGTTATTAATGAAATTGTTTCGGTACAGGAGGTAGGAGGTCCAAAGTAGTTCCATACAAGCTTTATATATACTGGAACGTGTATCGAGTTTAACTGAGAATCATCTTTCCGTATAATATAGAAAGAGCAACTATATTGAAGTTGGTTTTAAGTCATGTTGATTCTAAACGTACATACACATCGTGGAAAATTATACATAGTTGGCTGATGCATGATGTATCCATAGTAAAGATGTAAAGTACGTACGTATTTTGCGTATACATGTGCACACGCGCGCGCAATTGTGCAGGTGCATACGTACCCGACTATATTTCACAATTCGTGCGAGAAGATATAACGTTAAAAATATAAATATTATCTGAAAAAGAAAAATTATACATATATATATAAATGTATGTGTATGTATATGGCGTAATCTTAATAATGGCGCACCCGTGTCGCTCTGTTTCATTTTTTCGTACTATCTTTACCGGTATATATTTTGATTTCGACTCAGGGCGCTGAAGCAGTTACGACGTATCCTTTATTAAAGTATTAAATACTAAACGATATACATATATATATATATATAGCGAACGAGAGTGAGATTGTGCGAGTGAAAGAGATATAAAATGGAATGTTAGGTGGTCTCACTAATGTTCTTTATCCGTATACCGTTCCGAACTGTCTTAATTAGGTAATTAAAACGAACTATATATACAAGTTAAGATTATGATACTCATGCGATAAATTATAATGAATGTAACACGCGGATCTACGATTCAGTATGGTACTATTAATATATAGTCAATAATTCCTGTTCTAAGGTCTAATTCGGGATTCATTTCATCCCCTTGGCGCGTGCAGCTACCTCCATGAACAATGTTTGCTATATATTACCGAATACATTATATAGTAATATAAATATCTTCGTTCCTGTCTGGAATTCGCAACACTCGAAGAGGCTGCACGAGATCCTAAGCGGAGAGAAAAAAGCCCTGTAAATTGTACCAACTTCTTTTACTTTATTCCCCGTGATGTTGCATCTGTAAACATTCTTTCTGGCTGATTCGAATGGCGTTGATTAGAGGAACACTGGTGTATAGGAACGGAAAGAGAACCTAGAGAAACTGGAAGTGAGACTTGAATGCTTCGCGGTCACTGGAACCTACCTATTTGATACTCATTCAATGACCACTATGATTTGTGAATTAGCAGCGATTTTCGCTTTATTTGGAGAAATTTCGAACGATGTAAAGCAAGCGCTGGTTTGTAAGATTCTACGAATTTTTACAAAAATTCGGTAAAACCATTTGACAAAATTGAAAAATATTCTTTTCTATTCAATGAATTTATAAAACTACATTAGCAAATCGAGTAAAACAGCTGTTTTCAGCACAAGAGGAGTTTCTTGATCAAGATCCCAATATTATGACTGCAGAAGAGAAGGTTGTAAGAAAGGAAGAGCGAATCAATGAAAATGTGAGAAAGTTTAGTTCAAAGCGTTGGACTTTGGGAAGTCAGGAGTGCACAGATGTTTCTTTCACATTGGACCACACGCATAAACCACATGCATAAACCACATTCAAGATCCAAGAGGTAGAAATTATACTTGTTAAAGTTTAGCACGACAAATGATTTCTCAAGCAATGAATCTCTTTGTTGAAGCGAGGTTAATTTTCTAAACGTGATTATTCAAGGAATTTGTGCACTCCTGATGCGAAGTTTGTGTCCGCGACTTATTTAACTTAGGTGTTCTTGTATAATATGGTTCTCGCAGTTGGCGGAAGTAATGGCCATAGGAGACTAGATCATAAAGTACATGTTCAATTAACGACTACAGATCATGCAAGAAGAAAACTGGTCACCATTAAGTTTAAAAGGGTGGTCTCTGTGTTGACATTCTGCGTAACCTTGGAAACTTTTCTTTCGTACAGTAGAACCTCGTTAATCCGAATTTCTTGTATAGAAGAAAACTTATTTCGAATTAGTAGGAATGAGGTTTATTTTCGGAGGAGGAACTGAACCGAAGAAGACCTTGAATAAAATACATTGATAGGTAGAAAAGTTTTTTCGATTATATTTTCCTTAACTCTATTTGCAAAAGAAAGAGAGAAAGGAAAATATTTCTACGAAGAAACTTTTGAATCGAACGTGAAAGGAAATCTAAATCGAAATAGTTAAAGTGGAACATCCAATGGAGTTAGGGTTAACGAGGTCTCACTTCGCACAAAAGATGTGGAAACCATGATAATGCAGAACCTCGTTATTTCGGAATCGTCCAGAGTTGTCCAGATTAGTGAGATTGTACTATATTATCAACGAAAAGCGGAGGAGAAAGGAAATTGTAATTCTCTTTAGGCTTGAGAACAATGGAATAAATGTAAATTGATCTTTTTATACTACATGCTTTAGCTTTCTTTTCTTTCGTTCTGAAGAGGTTTGGTTGTACGATCGTGTAATGCGTTTAGAACAATGTTTTACATTGCAGTACACAAAAAACAAACGTTTGTGTAAACTTACTGGTGATCGAGTGTAACAGGACAATATTACATATACATATATAACACATATTTTATCGAGGATTATAGGGCAGTAGCGATCCATGTAACTCTCCCCTATAAGCTAGCGAAAGGCAAGGCGATATTCGGAGAGGGACAAAACGAGAAACGAACACTATATCAATATTTTTCATCGATCAGCCATTAACACGTTCAGTGTTATGAAACCCAAGAATGATCTCCTAACTTCCCTGTTCTTACTGCGTTCCAGCGTCGTGGAATAAATGTTGAACAACACATCATTAATGATCACTAATTGACTGACAAGGGTCCAGTAGTATTGTGATTTGCAACTGGTAGAGTGGAGTCTGAGTGATACGTAGCTCAAAATGATACTCGAATGCTATGTAACTTAAGTATTGAGTGAAATTATAGTGTCCCCTTTTTTTTGTACCAATAATTACTTAATATTTCAATTATTTTGAGCAACGTAGTGGTAGTCAGCAGAAGCTGTGTACTCTATCTTCAGTCTTTAGCTAACGTTAGGTTAAATAGTCGCGGAATCTCTAGTAGACAATAAGTTGAACTTATTGTCATTTAACTCTATTTCTCATTAATTTTCAAGTGTACAGCCTATTCCTGAATAGAGGTAAATATTTATATCCATGATTATTGTAAATACAATTAGATACTTAGTTAGATGAATTGTACATATCATTAATTTCTTCTGCGAGAGTCCATTCTATCCGATTGTAAGTTGATGTTAATACAATGTTTAACTTATTTACCAGTAAATGTACGGGAATGTAAGATTAGTCGAGGGCACTGAACGTGTTAAAGAGCGTTCTTGAGGGAAATCCTGTGTAAAGTCGCTAGCCTTTAGCGGAAATATTTTGTTTAACGAGAAAGTAAAATGAGAGAGAATGAGAGAGAGAGAGAGAGAGAGAACTAAAAGATTGGACGAGCTCGGCCGAATCGATATATCGGTAGCAAACTAGAGAGTCTATAGAAACACGGAGAGAACCCGCTATTTTTTCTGATATCATCTAATGGGAAAAAGGAAACCATAGTATGCCATATTATACATCTCGTTTTTCCGTTCTATCTTCTGTTAGGACGTCTCTCTTTAACGTAAGTAGTTATAATTCATGCGCGTGAAATTCAAAACGGAAGAAGTACAGCGACTATAAAATATATTAGTTGAGATGCTATTATTTACGGTTAATTTGTATTAATTGTCATTGATATCATTATGCGCTACGAATATGTTGTAAACGATTATTATGTAACACATGAATGGCGTTTAATAGAGTATTTATTGAAATTACTAGATGTGTCCATTCCTCTTCGTGAAAAGAGAGATAAACTAACATTTACTTTATCCTAGTACGCTTTATCTTTTCTTTTCTATAACTAAATATTTACTAACAATAATATATGGAAGGCGTTTAATAGAATATTTGTTAAAATTAGCGGATGTGAGACCACTCTTCTTCATTGTGAGGAAGAAAGAAAAATTAACGTTCGCTTCGTTCATTTGTTGAGTGACCAGATTACTTAAAAAATTATTTTTACAGTTGTTCTAGAAATTTCTGTACTCCTTAGTTCCAGAGTTATTTCAAAAATTACTCTACTCTGTAATTACTCTAATCTTCTTCGATTTATCTTGCTATTTAATTGATGGAAAAATGTCAAATTATTTTTAGCTAATCAACAAAAAAAAAAAAAAAAACAGCTTATGGTACAAAAGTACTTTGAAGTACTGTTAAGGAGATTAATTTAAAAAAGGAAGAAAGGGAATGCTATTTCATTATGATGATTCATATAGAAAAATACTATGCATCAAGCAGACAATGATGAAAACTAGGTTTGTAATCGAAACAGTCACAGACGTAATATTCCTCTTTTGTAACTATCTTTATTGCAGATGGTGGGAGAGAGTGATGCAGAAACGCTTTACAACGATCGTTTGGAAGTGCAGTCAATTTATACGATACCCACGCGACGATTGTGTCGTAGAAGTTGTCTTCCCAAAAACAATTACAAAGTTTGCTTCGTTGAATTTGCGGTTCGAATACTTGTGAACATGAATGGTATTCAAAGGAACATTGGGTAAGTGATTTCACAATTTAATGTAACGATCACTATATCAACAATTGTATCTACAATTTTATATAGAAATATCTATGGCCTTTTTATTATATAACTATATAACTATATATATATTACAAGATATTTGCTGCATGTAATGAAAGATAATAATATAAAAAATGTCTTAAGTAAAACGTTTTGTGTAACATATAATATATTACATAATATACATAATTCACTGTTAGAAACTATTATATGTATTATACGTTTTATGTAAAACATTTTCAAATATCACTGCTATTTCCATGAGACACAGCTGACATGATTTATATTGGTGAAATTCTAATGCAATCCAAGAATGTATGTGAAAGCTAAAAATTATATATCAATATTTAGCTATGAATTTAAAAAATATCGAAACTGAAAACCTCTGGTTCCCCTGTTGGGAAAGCGTGGAAAGTTTTGAGAACTAAGAATGGAAAATTCTAAAAATAATAATTACTGACTATTATTTTTCTAAACTATATCTCTTTTCCTTTTTTTTTTTACTTTTTATTAAAATTTTGTGTAACATATAATATATTACATAATATACATAATTCACTGTAAAAAACTATTATATATATTATACGTTTTATATAAAACATTTTCAAATATCACTGCCATTTCCATGAGATACAGCTGACATGATTTATATTGGTGAAATTCTAATGCAATCCGAGAATGTATGTGAAAGCTAAGAATTATATATCGATATTTAGCTATGAATTTAAAAAATATCAAAACTGAAAACCTCTGGTTCCCCTGTTGGGAAAGCGTGGAAAATTTCGAGAACTAAGAATGGAAAATTCCAAAAATAGTAATTACTGACTATTATTTTTCTAAACTATATCTCTTTTCCTTTTTTTTCTTACTTATTAAATCATTTGAACAGCTTTGTTGTTACAACTAAAAAATTGTTTTCCACAAGTTGTTTATTCGTGACGATTAAATAATCATTTTCTACGAGTTTATTATCTTTCTTACAACAAAATAATTGTTTCGCAAGCTTCCAAACAGTTTTATATTTTCACTGAAGAACTTATCGAGGTCGTATCACTTTTGACAGAATAGTTGCTCGCACAAACGTTTAGAAGAATTAGATCATAGATGTCCTCTGCTTCTGCTTGTTCGAGCTGAATAGCGTGCGATTGTTGGCATAATTCATGTCTATAGAGGAGAAAGTTGCGAATATTGTTTGATTTCGTTAAGTGATTTCGTTAAGCGCACGATGCCAAGAAAAAGTGAATGACTTCTTCTGGTCCTACGATAAATTCCAGATCCTTTCACGAAAAGTGAAAGCCAATCGTTGTTCGCTAAGAAATGATCGATGCTGCTGACATTTACAAAAAACAGCTGACATTTACAAAAACGAAGTTAAAAGGGATTATATCGAATAACAGAAATCGTTCGCTTTAATTTGTCATTGTCGAGTAAGCGAGTTTCTATATGCCGTATAAATTGAACTTAGCAAATATTGACTGTTCACTGAAAAAAAACTACCATTTGTCACGAGACAAGTTTCAACACATTTCCTGTTCTTTAGTTACATATGTATTTACACGATTTATACATAATTTGAATCAAAGATAAAATTCTGCGATTTTGCATGTTTACTTCTAAATTTGCAAAATTCATGAAAAAAGCCCAACTTTGCACTTATTACCAATCGAGCGGTAGGTGAAAAATTTTATCTAGTTTCTCGATTCTTAAAGATCTCTGAATTTCATTGTAATTCGTGTAGTATAGATGTTAATTATTAATTTTTTCAATGTTTTTGAATTTTTCCCTTTCTTATACAGTCAAGGGATGACATTGATTGTCAAGTGTAGAGACCAGGTTAGATTAGATTAGATTAGATTAGATTGGATTAAAAATTGAATATAATTGAAATACAAATATAGAGTATAGAATTTCACGAGGAAAAATGCGATGTATCACGTAAGAAAAGTTCGAGACCATGTAAAACAATTTGCAACCTTTTCTAATTCCTCTCTATAATTTAACTGGTAACTGGTGGTACAAGCGGAAAGGGGGCGATTCAACGCGAAAAAAGAAGTCGAAAATGTAGAGTAAAAATTTTTCGTTTTCGAGAAAATCGACTTTGAATTTTCGTTCGGTACGCGTGCGGTACGTTATAACGGATCTCACTGTAGATCGTTATCTCGATGGAAAAATTAAAAAAAAAATTGTTATTCTATATTTTCGACTTCTTTTTTCGCGTAGAATTACCCCCTTTCCGCTTGCACCACCAGTCACCAACCACCCTGTATAATTAAATACAATTAAATATAATATTATAAAAATCTGCCTTTAATAATTAATACTTAGATATCATAATATTATATTCTTCTTAATTTTAGATATAATATTATATCCAAATATCAATTACTAAATAGAAAGAGATTTTTCATTGGTAAAATAAAAGTAATTGAAATATAAAATTAAATATAAAATTTCACAGGTAAAAAGAAATATACTGTATTGTATTTTATATTGTATCGTATTATATTATTGAGGCCTATGCCCATAATAATCTTATTACGTATATGCAGTGTGCACGTTTGATGCGTTCTATTTCATTATACATCACTGTTTGGTATCGATAGCGGCATAACCTCCAACCACTTGAAATTTCCTTTTATTGAATACAAGGTCCACGTTAATCTTCTGTTTTTATCATTTGATGTAATAAGTATTTAGTATAAGTATTTAGGCTGTATTTAGTATTTTCAATAATGTATACATTAATATGCCTCTTCTCTAAAATTTTCATTTTTTATTATTATTCCATAAAAATATAAATAATTTAGATGTAACAATTCGCCATTATAATCGCAAAAGTGATATATTGATCACGTGAAAAAATTGCTTTTTACAGGGGTACAAAATTAATGTTCGACTTACAGATAAAAAATGGCAACGTACATAGGAAAATGCAAAGAAGCCGATAATATGACCTTCAATTATCCGAGTTAATTTCTTGTAAAAAACAAGAAGCCATTATGTCATTGCAAGTATATACATGTATGCAAATCCCCGACATTTTTAACGAGGTGGATAATTAACATATAATTCACTACAAGTTGTTTAAAATTGAAAACCAGAGTATTACACAATTGCATAGCGATTGACAATTGTTAATTTATTATCACGATGAAATACCATGTTTAAAAAGTATTAATCATTTAATGATTTAATAACTTTTTCCTTGAAGTATATTACTAGTATACAAAGTATGCAGTCTGACATAAGTGTTGCTTTGTTGATGACAGGTATATACAGGGTATCCCAGTATTAATGGTACAATCACCAAGAAGGCGATTGCACGCGAGGAAAACAAATCGAAGATACAGGATAAAATTGTTTTGTTACATATGACGCCTAATTTTCGAGAAGATCGAGTTTGAAATTTCGTCAAGTGGAGTTAAACTTGATTAATGTTGAACGGGACAGAAACGAATAACCGATAGCAAGTTGTTCGAGTTATAAAGTGGGTAAAAAACGTAGAGAGAAACTTTTACATAGAATCTTTCGCCTTTGAAAAAATAAAATTTGAAATTTGGTCGAATACGCGTATATCGGGCTAATTTTCTTAAAAGCGAAGCACTAAATGGAAAAATATTTTTGCAGGTGGAATAATCTCCTGCTGATCGTTAACTTATATCTTTATCACCTAAATTTACATATAGCAACGAAGTTTTTGAAGTCGATTTATTCGGCACGTAGTTTCAGAAGTGAAAAATGTGTTGTATACTGTAGACATATTTTTCATGTAGATTACTCCGTTTCCCGATTGTGCCCGAAATTTGTTAAAAAATTTTAAAAATTTAAATTTTATGCGAAAATAGAAGAATAGTATAGTAGTGTATACTATTACTATGGTATAGTATAATGATGTGTGTATATTAGTATATACTATGATGTAGTAGCATACTAGTATATAGTAGTATACTATGATATACTAGTATAGTAATATAATAGTAATAGTGTATAACTATATACTAGTATATAATAATAGTACATATTATTGCTAGTATATTACTAGTACCATCCGTATATTATACAATGTTTCACGGATGTGATTAATAAAAATACGAAAGTACTATTAGAGTATAGAAAAAAGGTTATTATTATGCAACTATTCCATGAAATATCTTTCTAATTATACTATAACTTACTTCTAGATGAGATGAA